CTTTCAATGTTTTGAAGAGTTGTTGTTTTATGCTTTGAAAATGGGTCATTGTGCATGCCTCTTTGTTTAAATCTTTGGGCTGCCATATCAGTGGGTTTTGAGACTCATTTTGGCATATTATAGCTCTGTTTTTCATTGCCTAACCCATGCCATGTTTGGTTGAGGTGGTTGTAATGGAATGCTCTCTTTGTAGTCTTGAATGCCCTTGTTTTGGTGCCTATTTCTTAGCATGTTTGGTCATGTTCCATGCATGTCCTAGCCTTATTTTGGTCTGCCCTAGGACTGATTTAAGTCATTTCGGTTCTTTGAGGCTTGGTTGGTATGACCATAGCTTGACCCCCTTTTGTTAGCCTCAAGTTTTTGGCCTTCATTGCATGCCTTATTGACATGGCTTGGTTGATTTGGCACCACCTTTTACACATTTTCAGAGCTTAGCATGCATGTCATTTGTCTCTTTTTAAATGTGTTTAAAAAGTTCCCTTTTCCATGCTCAAGTGATAGGCTAGTTAGCATTCATGTTTGCTTTGCATTTTGGTGCCTTCATCCATCACTTTTGGCCGCTGTTTTGGGGGCATGGCTGAGGCCTCCCATTCCGGTTTAAGCCCATCCTTGTATATAGTTGCATGTTTGACATGTTGCATCTTGTTACATGCTTGCTAGTTTACACTTTGTTACATGCTTGTGCAAGTTGCATTGAGTAGGCACACTCATGTTGCGTTACATTATTTGCATACTTGCATTATATCATGTTTGCATGTTTAGTATATTGCATGACGCTTAGCTAGTTGCATTACATAATCTTGTTGTATACTTGGCATGTTCATGTTACATTGGCATTAACTTGCATGCTTAGGCAGCATTAGATTTCATTGAGTTAACATGCTCATGTTGCATTGCATTGGTTGCATGCTTTGCATTGTATATGGCATGCATACAATACATTATGTTTGGCTTGGGGTGTCAAACCAAACATGAGGAATGAGGGACGTTCGTACTCAAAGGCCATGTTTGTTTGGATGGACATGGGCTTAGGACTGGACTAATAGTCCAAGAAAATTATTAATTCGATGTTTGGTTAAAAAATTGAAGTACGAATTAACAATCCTTTCGGATATGATGTCCCACATTTGATGGACTATTCAATCCCACAAAGAGGGGTGGGATATAAATTGGGAGATTAGCCAAAGTCTGGATTAACTCATCAAATGACCAAATTAACCCTCACTATATATCATATTTGTTGATTATTTTATTCTACAAACTTCACTTCTTTGACATTGCTGTGATGGGATGAGAGTCTTCAAAGTTCATCGTCGAGCTTGAGCCACTGATCACCGATTTGGAGCCACCATTTACAAATCTGGAGCAACTGTTCATCGATTTGGATCCACCATTTGTTGATTCGCTGATCTCAACAAATTTCAGTGAGTAAATTTTTATTTTCTTTTCATTGATGTTCGGTTTGAATTAAGGTGCTATTACATGGTTTGATTTGCTATGAATCTTTGTTTTACATTGGTGTTGTTATGATTATTGCTCTTTCTCTCTCTTCATCTTCAAAGATCCATATCTAGGGTTATGAATTTTTCACTCACATTGAAATCTCAGATTTGTTGAAATCTCAGATTTGTTGATTGTGAGTTCATATTGAAATCTCCGATTAGCCAAAGTTTGGACTATGTTGCTTACTCATTGGATGACAAAGTTGAATGCTATAATACGTTGGTAACTGTCATTAGTGCTGAGTGTTCTTGGGGTTTGAAATGTTAAATCGTCTGTGTTCATACTTGGAAATTGCTGATAGTCTTTTCATTTTCATGACAAAATCACTTGTGATTTTAAATTAGCAAAGAGTCAAATATATGGATCAGATTGAATTTGAAGATAGATCGATAGATAGGGTAGGAATTTTTATTGATTTAAAACTGGACTTAGCTTCTTCTATTTTTCTTTTTTCTTTTTATCGATACAAATTAATTGGACTTGGATTTATTTATTTATTTTTAAATTAGCAAAAAGAAATATATTGATGTAAAAACCAGCCTGGACTTAGAAGTTGTTCGTATAGCCATGTCTGCTTCGCCCTCCGTTGAATAATTATCTGCTTCACTTTCTGTTTCATAAAACAAAACAATTTGATTTACTCTTATATTTCTCCTTAAAAACATATCACTAGTTGCAATTCTACTAAACCAAACCATCCAGCCAAATTGCTTCTTGAAAGAAAATCAGCAACACTTCCCTCCTTAGAATTAATTTGATAGTGTTATTGATTATTATATTACTAATGAATTGAGTTAGTAAGAATATATTTTTACCTTAATTATTTTCATATAGCCATGTCTGCTGTTTCTTTTGTGGTTCAATCATTATTTTTTCTTCTCCCTCATTAATTTAAATTGTCTCTGCAGTAACTCAATCATTTGATCAATAGAGAAATAATATTCTGACTATATATATAATTTAAATATAGATAGAATGTAGTGTTGATGGCATTTATACACTTCTTGGGCAAAACTATATATATAATTATCTTTTATTATCAGAGAAATAATATTCTGACTTTCTTTCTGTTGGAAATAAAATAACCCAAAAAAAAAGAACATCAGAGAGTAAAAGGAGTGTGAATATTATTTCTTTATTAACAACTCAATAATGAAAAATGCAGGCAACTATATATTAAATGAGTTATATGGGTCTTGAAATTTTTTGTCATTTAATGGCATATCAATCCTCAAATATAGAGAAATAACACAAAAGGACATATATAATTAGTTGGCCTCAGGTGTGAGTAATGAGTTCATTATGGTCTAATAAAATGAGAAGTATATACATAACATATCCTAGTATATAGTACTGTATTTGGACATTAATAGCTTATAGATTGGGTTTGAAATAGTAGGTTATCTAAGCACATTTGTTGTTGTGTAAAGTTGAGGCAATTAATAAACCACGTTTAGAGCTTCTCTTCTAACAGACACACAGACAGAGTGACAGAGAGATATGGAAACAGGGCCTTTAAAATGTATACATTCACATGGCCTCTTTAACGTTATCTAGAATTTCCTCAGTCTACCTCATAAATAAGTCTCCACAAATTCAAAGGGCACAGGGAAATGGTAAGAGGTTACTTATCATCATTAACAGAACCCTTATGTTTCTCCAAAACATATGTATATATAGACAATTGTTTTACGTGCACAAAATTTATTCACATAATTAGACATAACCTTCTCACATGAGGTAGAAATCACACATTTTAATCGATCCCACCTTATGTGAGAGAGTTATATCTAATTCCATAATCAAATTTTGTACACTTAAATATTTTCATATATCTATACTATTATATAAAAGCCAACTAGGATGTTGGTGTGGATGTCACAGATTTTTTTTATTCTTAAACTACCCTTTTTGTAATTGTCAAATCCTATAACTGTCTAATTCAAATAAGCCTGTAAATCTCTGTAACTGCAAATTTAAACACATTTATGTTGGTGTGCTCAACTTCTCATACATATATGTGTGTCTATGGAAAGAACCTCTCCCTCATGACAAGCTCTGAAAAATGTTGGTGCTCAATTTAGGCTAACTTGAGTAATGTCAATTGGTAATTGGAGAACTTTGCATATGGTTGCATTTCTGGTTTCTCAAATGTGAATTTTGATTAATTGTTGGATAGACACACTTTTGAACAAGAAGTTTAACTTTGGTGTTGTCAATTTTGTTTAGTAACATCCTGTTGGCAACATCACTGAATTGGTTGTGAAGAACTTTGTCAAACTTATTTTATATTTATGGTTATATGTCTATGCTAACAAGTAATCATAACCATTGTTTTATGTTGGAATTTTGTAAAAAAAACATTTTGAAAATGACTAAACAGGCTCTTTTAAAAAAAAAAATTCAATTACCAGCTTTTCCCATTGAAATGCCACTAATGCTGGTGCGCTACCAATATGCAATTACTTCCTCAGCTACTATATACTCTCTTTTTATTTGTTTTTATGTTTTAAACACTGTACTTTATTGCGTGCTAGAATATTCCACATTTCTTGCCAGCCAACTAGTGTATGTAAAAAGGGTTACTTCGGTGGTCGGTATGTTCCTGACCTCAACTTAATTATCCCCCATTAATTGTTCCTCTATAGTTTTATATAAGGCCTAGTCACACAATTAGACTAAGCTGTTCATTAATTATTTTTCATTTATATACCTTAGAATTGCTAATTAACTGTGTTGGGTTCCATCTGATCCCTAAAAAACGGTCATAGTTAGAGTGGAATTTTGAATTTATGATTTAATTGTTCAAACTAAGTTGCAAATAGGCTTACAAGTTTGGTATTAATGTTGCCTACTTAAAACTCTCCCTCTCTCTCAATTCAGTTCAACCCAGCTTAAATTTCACCTTGCTCTTGTCTTCCTTAGCTGGTCCCCTACACACTATCATGCGTACCAGTGCTAGAGGCCATTTATTAGGGTTTCAATCTTCAACTACTAACCTTACTATCCAAGCACCCTTTTATATATAAAACCACCCTTTTAAATTGTCTCTGCAATAACTAAAGCAGGTCAACTGACTTCTTCAAAACCATTGAATTTGAAGATCTCAGTATTGAGCTATTAACTCATTATATGAAGAACATAGTTACCATAACTCTGTGCCCACGCCATGCCAAAGCCTTTGGTAAAGCCCCAGCAACATCTCCAAGCCCACCTATGAAAAACCATGAAAAATATTCCTCAGAATTAGGATCACTGCGGTGAAATGCAATAATGAACACAAGGACAATCAAAAAGGAAAAACTAGGCTTATTATATTACTAATGAATTGAGTTACTAATGAATCCCAGTTTAAGAATATATTTTTTTTTATGACATTATGCCATATGGTTCGTACAATAGGCGGGTTGGGGCACTCAAAACATGTTACCTTAGAAGAGAAGATGGCCTTGTTCCTCTACGTCTTGGCACATGACTTCAAAGTACGAAAACTTAAGTTCAATTTCTTTAGGTCTGGAGAGACTGTAAGTCAACATTTCAATGATGTCCTAAAAGCTGTGTTGCGCCTTCAAGGCTACTTACTTAGGACACCAAATCCTATAACACAAGCATGCACTGATCCAAGGTGGAATTGCTTCCAGGTAAATGTAGTTTGTAAAACATTTAATAAAATACATTACACATTGTTTTTTTTTACAATTCATAATTATTACAATGTCTTCTATGTATTAGAATTGTGTTGGAGCACTTGATGGAACCTATATTAAAGTTCGTGTACCAGTGGTTTACCAAGCACAGTATAGAACGCGGAAGGAGGAGATTGCTACCAATGTTCTAGGAGTTTGCTCTCAGGACATGAACTTCATATATGTGTTGCCGGGTTGGGAAGGGTCAGCTGCAGACTCTAGGGTTTTGAGGGATGCGATTAATCAATCCAATGGCTTAAGAATTCCAACTGGTAATAAATAAATAATTAACTTTGCTTGATGGAATTACTAAGTTTTATTTAATAATAGATTCTAATATATAACATCTCATATAGGGTACTACTACCTAGTAGATGCCGGGTATACAAATGGACAAGGATTCCTAGCACCTTATCAGGGCCAACGATACCATTTGTCTGTTTGGAGAGCAGGGGCCACTCCAACTAATTATCAAGAATTTTTTAATATGAAACATGCATCAGCTCGAAATGTCATAGAAAGGTGTTTTGGTTTGTTGAAAATAAGATGGGCAATACTTCGTTGTGTATCATACTACCCCATTAGAACTCAAAACCATATCATCACAGCATGTTGTTTGTTACACAACCTCATTCGTCGAGAGATACCGGTTGACCCAATAGAAGAGAGGCTAAATAATGACATAGAAGATCAACCTCAATTGAGAGATGATTTTGTTGACACCGTTGAGACATCTAATGAGTGGACTGGGTGACGGGATACACTTGCAATGCAACTATATAACAATTGGTTGGCTAGTAGGGAGGCATGACAATGATAGTTTCAATATTTGTAAAAGTACTTATTACAAGTATGATGTAGTTTCATTTGATTTGTACTTGGAACTTGTATTAGCTTGTGGATGTTGAACCATGTTTTGCAAAAATTGTATGGTTTTTGTTGGTGATTGCATATTTTTTAAGTGACGATATTTTTGTCTCATGGATTTGTTACATGCATGTATGGGTATGAAATTTTTTGATTATTAAATCCATTTATGTATTGACTTGTTTTGGCACATTAACAGGTTGATAATCATATAATGGAGACTAACATGCACACTTTTCTTTGTTCTTCTTTGCTAGGCATGGATAGTGAAGTGTCTAGTTCTCGTAAAAAAGTAAAGGAGAAAGTTGATCCGTCAAAACCAAGGCGATTGTGGAGCCCACGAGAAGAGCAATGTCTTATTAATGCCTTGATGCACATTGTCAACAATGGAATGACACGGGACAATGCCTTCAAGGCCGGCTACCTTATGAAATTAGAAGATAAATTATTGGAGATGCTACCCGGGACAAACCTTCGCGGCACTCCCCACATCAAATCAAAGATAAAGATATGGAAGAAGCACTACAACTGTGTAGCAGGAATGCTTGGTACTAGTGGTTTTGGATGGAATGACACCGAAAAAAGAATTGATGTTGAGAGTGATAGTGTCTGGGAAGCATATGTTCGGGTAAAATACTTTCTTTTAAGTTACTTTGTATAAGTTATTAATTTTTTAATTCATTTTTCTTTAATCTTAAGTTGGAGATATTAATTGAAATTGGTTATTGTAGAGGGAGAGCGATGCGAAAAATCTACGAAACAAAAGTTTCCATATTTTGACTCATGGATCCACATATTTGGTAAGGATCGAGCTACGGGGGAGTTTGCTGAAGGGCCTGCTGATGCAGTTGATGCTATAAATGCTGAGGAAGAATTGTTGTTCAATAGTCTTGCAGATGATGGCACGTTTCTTGAACATATGGGTATTAGTATTCATATCGGTGAGGGAATAAATTGCTCCAGCTCATCAAGTCAACGACAACCTGAAAGTTCTACAAAAAAGAATGACAACAAGAAGAGGCCTAGAGGCAATGATGATGTAGTGGAAGGGTTGTCTATGATTGCTAACAAGTTGGGTGAGGTATTTTCTACCACCAATGAAAAGTTGGATTTCATTGGTCAAAGAATGGGTTATGAACATGATCTTGCATCTAAACGGGCAAGTTTGAATGATGAACTCATTAAGTTGCCAATTACTCTTGATGAAAGGCTAGATGCTTGTGAGATCATATCACAAAGTGCTCAAAAGCTCGACATGTTCTTCAGCTTGACACATGATGACAAACTAAGGTGGGTGATAAGGTTGCTACGTAGGAGTGCTCCATGATAGACTCGTGGCTCTTTTATGTCCTTCTACGTACTTAGTTTTTTTTATTACTCTAATGCATGTAATAAGGACTTGACTTTTTGCTACTTTTTTTTGTTGAACTACTCATATTTTGCTACTTCATGTTGCAATATGCTACTTGGAATGCTTATTTTGAAATGATGAATGGTAGATTTATATCTCTACAATTTCATAGTTGAATGATTTTTGATATTTTTTTGTTTGAAAAAAAAAGAGTTAAATTTTGTTTAAATAAATGTCTTTTTGAATTTGGGCAGTGAATGGTTGAATGATTAAAATAACAGGGCATATTTTTTTAATGATTATTTGTGTATATATAAATTTTCTAGTTGAATGATTTTTAATTTTTTTCTATTAAAAAATAAGTGTGGGTTAAATTTTGTTCAAATAAATACTTTCTTCAATTTGAACTATGAATGATTAGATGATTAAAATAGTAGTGTATTTTTTAAAATGGTTGCTTATGTATATTTAAATTTTATAGTTGAATTATTTTTTATTTTTTCTATTAAAAAAAGTGGGTTAAATTTTGTTCAAATAAATCAAAATGGATGCGGAGCAACAATATGAAAATTTGTTTTTTAAAAATTATAACTCATTTTAGTGCAAAATTTTACATTAATTATAATAGGGGTATCATGATCGATATATTGGATGTCCCATATCTTGTCATGTCCTATCCATTCAAATCTCCATAAACAAACATCGGATTGGATAATATTTTATTAATCTCTCCTTATAATCCTAACTTAATCCAAACATAGGATAGGATACACAATCTAAAGGATTCATAGTCCTAGGACTATTAGTCATAGGAATGCTAATCCAATCTAATCCAGTGCGCCCAAACAAACATGGCCTTAGATTACTGTACGGGAAAGAAATACGCCTTCTTGTATAATCCTGTTGACCAAGTCCATGCTCCTCCGTACGACGTCGCTTTATCACCTGAAAACACAAACGTGAGCTAGCCGGCGGGTGTGTGCCGGAAACCTCTCCGATGCCTAAGTCAGTAAACTTGGCAAATAGACAAAGCTCTATGTTCTCAGAAAGAAAAATTGTGTTACCTCCTCCAAGGTGATGTTTGTGAGCTTTTTATAAGTTTCGAATGGCACAATCCTAGTAGGATTTCTATTCCTCTATGCAGAGTCCTCCTAGGATTCATACTCCTAAGGATAATGCTTATCCTTTTACACCCCCCCCACTGCTTAAACCAAGTGGGATGGTTTTCATCATGGCCGAACTACCACACGACCAATATAAACCTGGCTGTACCGAGCCACAGAGTAGGCCGTACTAACAGTAGTTCGGTTCTTCTTCTTGTTACACCATATTTCGGTTCTCTCATGCACGAACCATGGTGTGTTTGGACCGATCTACCAAGTAGCAACATTCCGACCGACCTACCCAGAATACATCGTGACCGGACTACCTCTGAGACCGGCCTAATCTAGAAAAGTCGCACAGACCGAAGTAACTCAACATCTCTTCTGGGCCGGAGTAACTTTATCATTCTTGAACCGGTGTACCTTTCTTACTCTTGGACCGGAGTAACTTTCTTACTCTTGGACCGGAGTAACTTTTACATAGAATTAGGCCTTTTTATCCAGTCCTTCGTATTTTGGGCCATGAAGTCTATCTTCGCAGCTCGGCCCAATTTTTTCCAAAAATTACCCTCTCAATTGCCCCTTAATTCCATCTGCATAGCATGATTGGGATTACCAGTCTATCAGCCGAGCTAGAGTTTCTTAAGCCTTTCCAGCCGAGCTAAAAAAAAACAGTTTAGCCTCTCCAGCCGAGCTAAAAAAACTCTTAAGCCTTTCAGCCGAGCTACTTTCACTCCGGGCTCTGTTTGTCCGGTCAAAACGTCTCTTCAATCACAGCGTCTGTAACGCTTCCCTTTCCAATGACACGTGGCGGACTCTGATAGGCTAGAGGTAGCTGTCACGCCGCCCTCGTACTACGAAATTTTTGAACAGTCCCGCCCTTTCTGCCTTTACACAAAACAACCCTTTCATTTTTTGAATCACTCACTCTACTATTCTTCATCTTCCCTCTCTGTACCTCTACTATCAAGCTCGTAATCTTCATTGCTGTGACCGTTCCATCTCCAGTTCCCTCCTCTTCAATCTGGTAAGTAAATCCATTTTCTTCCTCTGTTTTGCTTTCGTATCTTGCTTTCATTGTAGTTTGTTTTTGAAAAACATATTTTGCTGTGTATTGTACTTTTCTGGAAAAACTTATCCATAGAACACTTACATGTATGAATTATTCTGTAGAAAACTAGCCTTGGATCCAAAATCATATAGCAACCGAACTACGATATTGTTTGTCCTATATAGGTAGATCACTTTAGTCAATAACCGAACTAGGATCGTAAAAGTTTTATCAAATCATCAACTCCTGATTCACTGTAGCCGAAATAAAATCAACGAACGAAGTTCGAACACATTTAGGCTAGGAACCACGATCTTCAACCGAACTAAGCCTTTGGGGCTAAGCCAGCTTCCTTAGTTTCTAAACCAAACTCAGAAAGCTGCCCCTAGTGGCTTAACCGAAGTAAAAAAACCCACTGTTCAAACCGAGATAACAAACCTTATACGAAAACCGATCTTGCGTACCCTAAGTTCAAACCGAACTACCAAGTATTTTGCCGAACCGAGACAGAACCTGCCCACAAAGCCAAAGTAGGGCTCATTTACCTTACTTTTAATTTGTAGCACGGTCCAATGATCTGTGCTTAACCCCTTTGATTTCTACTTTGCAGACTTAGGTTACCCAGGCACTCCTGCGTGCGCTCAACCGAGCTACTGAGCACCATTTTCGCATCGATATAACTTATTCATAAATTATACAACAAATGGGTAAGTATAGGTATCTAGTAGAGACCCTTGGTGGTATGGCCGAATTCCGAAGTGATTATGGCATTCCAGACGATGTACACCTCACCCTAGCCAAGAAGGATATCATACCATGGGGTGAGGCAGGCTTTGTACCTTTTACCCTGCTTTCAATTATAGAGACCGGACTAAGGTTCCCAGTCCAGCCTTTAATTTGTGAGTTTCTCAGGCAAACCAAACTATGCCCAACCCAGCTATCCACCAATACATATCGGATAATAATGGGTATAGCCAAGCTAAACCGCCAAGCAGGTTTGAACCTCGGTTTAGCTGAAATCTTCCACCAGTACACCATAGGTTCCAAAGATGATGGCTGGGTTTATTACCTTAGGATACGCCGCCGTAGAGAAAAGATAATAAAAGATACGCTGGATAAGGACGTAAATGATGATGACTTTTTCTGGGTATCGGGCAATTTTGAAGATCAGCAAGCCCAAATCCCAGGCCGAAGTATAAACTGGAAGAAAGGAGAACCTGGTAGAGTTACTTCGGTTTTACACATGTTTTTCTATTACTTCGGTTTCAGATGTCACAACCGATCTAACAGTTTGTATCTTTTTTCAGACTCATCACATCTTGCATCCCTGTACAGTTACCCAAATCTGAACATACTCCGAGCCGCATTACGGTTTAAAGAAAGGAGTTGGGCTAAGCTTCTAAACTTTGAGCCGACATACAGATATAGTGGTCACTGAAAAGCCAGAGTGACCGATTTCCTTCTCGAAGACGCACCTGAACCGGACCCAACCTTGCTCGAAATACGACTTGTCCCACTAACCGCTGAAGAAGAGATGGCAAAGAAAAGTAGAGTTAGGGCCCTTCTGACCGCAACAACAAGGGCCGAAGTACCACCATCAATCCAAA